TGTGTTCTGAGTGGCTGTTTAAATCCCACTCATGTCCTGAAAGATTGTGCCCATCCTTCATTCCTCCTATCGTGTTTGTTTTGGATACCATCACTGCCTTGCAGCTGAACGTCAACATCAAAATGTGGCACGCTGCATTTCTTGGGTTAATGAGACATAATTAAACTAAACCCACAGACCCGGTTAGGACTTGTTGGTTATTAGTCGGAGGGTTGATGCTGCTTTTTGAAGCCTAGCTGGCTCAGGGTCGTGCCACTTAGCAGCTTTGCTGATGCATTAACGATTTTGCGCTCACACTCACTGAAATGCCACACAAGAAGAAAGAGAGAGTGCAGCGAGCAGCAACAAAAGCACTTGGGTGGAAAAATCATTTCACACTCAATTAATCACATTTTTTACAATACTTAGCTGAAGGCGATGGGGTAACGTCAGTTTAGCAAAGATTTTCTTGTTACAGCTGAATGAACCTTCAGTCTTTATTCTTTATTTTGAAAGAAATTTTGCCTCCAAATTCCAGCATATATTCTCTTAATCCTAGTCACACTGTCACTTAACACTCGTGGACTCTCCCATCTTGACTCACAACGAGAAAGGCTGTTGGTGGTTTAACGTCCAGGAAACAGCAGCGAACGTCTCGGCTAGTAGAAACTAACCATTAGCATTAGCAACACAGCAGAATTCAGGCTTGTGTTATTTGCGGAGATAAAACATCAACATCGTAGAGCAAACAGAGTCAGCCATTGGTAGTTGCTGTTAGCCAATCAGAGGCGAGATGTCCAAATATCAGGAAATAAGACTCCAAATCCTGCGAGAAGGAACTAGCTGCAGCATGCAGTAAAGGGTGGCGTTGTCAGAGTCTTACCATATTTGGAAATGGCCCATTAGCATTCCAGAACTGAAGAGGGTGCCGTAGCTAATATCACCTAAAAAGCAAGATTGAGGACGGAGTTGAGATGTTCATTGATTGAACCCTTTTTTGGCTGCATTTGTGCATTTCCCTCCTGTCTCAGCTGCACTTTGGTCGATGTTAAGATTTTACCTGAAAGTGAAAGAAAGTAGGCCACTACCAGGCGTTTCTCCTCCCCCGAAGCTGGTGGATGGCGCATGTTATGTGTGCAAGGCGCCAAGTGCTTTGTAACAGATTTAGTGGTAAAGTGTCTATGGTGTCAGAGAGGTGTGTAGTTTTGGGTAAAACTAAAATATAAATAAATTAAGTCTGTTTCAGCTGGCTAAACAAGTTACTACCAATCCCACCCAAAAACAAAATGAAAGGAACCTTTGCATTTCAGATTATGTTCAGGCTTTGTCGTGTAGCAAATTGTATTTATCTTGCTTAATTAGAACATAGAACATACGTAGTATTAAGGATTGTAAACTAGTAACAGCCATAATTCATGTGGGCCTGACAACTGACCCAATGCAGCCCCTTGCTGCGTGCTGCAGCCAGGTTTTTATTTATTTATTTATTTTATCGTGACCTGTCCGGCTGTGAAGAAATCAGAGTTTATGTCTGAATGCCGAAGACAAGCCTAACAGTTGTAGGTGGAGCGTTATAGCTTCTGCTATAATGCCAAGCCTGATACCAAAACTTTATTAGAAATATTTTTCAGTTGTTTTACATACCAACGGACACAGAGACAGAAGTTTGAGAAAGGGGGAGATGGGTTCAGAAAAATAAACAATAAATGATGAACAAGAATCTGGTTCTGGACCTGCAGAAAGAGAGAGAGAAAGGGGAGACACAAAAATACAATAAGACCAAATGATCACTGCACCAACAGCATGAAGATATATAAAAGTAACTATTTTTGCTGAGAAACACACGGTAATAATTCATAGTGCATTTAGTGCCAACCACAGCCACCACACAGGTGATGTGTTGAAAATGCCCAAGTCCACCCTTGTGAGAGCACCATGTGAGCACCTGTGGGCGTACACAGTTGTATTTGTAAGGTTTCTCCAAAGGAGTGTCCAATAGTGAATGTGAGGGGCCACAGACAGACCTGCCCCCAAAGATGTGTGGAAGATGGAGGAGTTCCAAGCCCTAGAGATCCATGGGTCTCTCCGAAGTGCAGGGATCCCAGGGAGACAGCCGCCAGAGAGGCCCCAACCCCCCTCCCGAGAGGCGCAGAGGATTACCCAGGGGGTCACAACCAGCAGCTGCCAGAGCCCCAAGCTAGATAAGCTCGAAGCACAGTGGCCTGGGACCCAAGGGTGACCAACCCCACCGGGGACCCACCAGAGCCCAGGGATCCAGTCTCCACCTGGCAGCCACTGGGAGCAACCTGACCATCACAAAACTTCCTGCCCTTCCCTGCTTTAAATAAAGTAGTGGTTCATGCTAAATGCTCAGGACTCTGCTCCTCGTGTTCCACTCCCACTGGTTGTCTGCAGTCAGATGGTGTATGAGAAATGTGTTAGCTAGCATTATTCAGTGTTGCTGTTAGCGTACTGCTTTAAATTTGCCTGTCTTGGCATGATAGCCCATGATAGTTTGTACACGAGTACAAACAATGAATCCCTTGGTTCAGTTAAAATAAACTTTTAATTTGAATGGACATCCATAAATGTCTAACTTAAATTTGTAAGTTAAAATAATGTAGAATTGTGTGTATTTTTAACCCTCTGGAGGCAGGCGTTGCAGATTAGCAACATTAAAACCTACCTACCTGGTTACTCCACACATGTATTTCATGAGCCTTTTTTAACTCAGAAATACCCCTGAAGGACTTAATTGTTCGTCCATTTATCAAAATTTATTTTGAGCCTGAGAGGGTTAACAAGATAAAATGTTTGTTTCCATTTAGTAATCTAGCAAGATTTGTTGTTTCAACTCACAATATAATGTTCAAACAAAGCATAGTTATTATTTATGATTTTTTACAACTTGACATTTCGGGTTGAAAGAAAGTATTCAATTAAGTTGACATGACTCAAGTTTTTAAGGCAGCCGGTGAACTTTTGCTTTTAAGTTATTCTGGTTTACAATTTATTTCAGCGTGCTGGGGATGGTAATGATGATCTGGTATCCCTGTCCAACCACTCCTGGCCTCCAGCCTCGGACAGCTAACCGAGAACAGAGGTGCGATAAGACCCCTAGTCTCCCTCCGCCTGCTCTAATGTGGTGTATTTAAAGGGACTTTACAGAGTTTTGAATTTTTATGCTCGCGATTGCCCCCTCAGGCCAAAAGCGTAACAGCAGCTTCAATAGTAGGCTCGTGCACGAGGCGTGCATGCTGTACATGCACACTCCTCAACGAAAATAACAGCTGAGACAGTCCCTTGTGTGTGTGTGTGTGTGTGTGTGTGTGGCCCGGAGGACAGAGGACAGGAGAATGCGCAGCTAATTAATTAAATAATTTGGTTCTGTACCTTTCTCTTCAGCACAACCGACAAAGGTTTAAGATGGGTCAGTCCTCCTGCATGCTCAGATCATTCCCTTCCCTTGCTTGAAAAATTGTTCCAAAATGAAAGTTGAACCCACATCTTTTTTATCTGTGGATTCATTGCTGTTCACCGAGTCTCAAATAAAAATTTGGGCATCTTACTGTAAAAAAATATACCATTAATGTAAAAAAGAAACTCTAAATAAACTATGTTCACATCCAGAAATGAACCCGGGTCTTCTGCACAAGAGTCCAACATCTTACTAGGTGAGCTAAAGCACCAGTGAAATCCTTTGTATCTGTAACATTTATATCCTTGATGACAGCTGAAACAACATTCAAAGAATGCTTCAGAGTGAAAATGGCTATTTTGTTGCTAATTTGCAGGAAATATCTAGAACAAAGTTCTTCAGAAAGTAGCTAAGGGTCCTCAGAAATGTATCTACAGTAGCTTTGTCACTAGGCGTTAGGAACAGTGACAAAGTGGCACTACCTCGCTCTCTGCTGCTAAAGCTACGGATAGCAAATGCTACGGGCTATGCCTGAGCGTGAACGCGCATGAAGCAGCCTGCTCGACCGAGCAGCTCTCTTTTTCTGTGATTTTACAGAAAAACAGGCAATCACAGTAAAAATGCCAGGGCTCATTCTACAGGACCAGGGCATTGCAGGAGAATGTATGAAGAAGACATTTATTATTTCTATACATGTTTTGGCTGTCAAACTTCCATAATGCCCCTTTAAATCCTGCCGTCTGAAGCTTTCTCCTCCAGCTGACTTCTACTTCCTGAAACAGGTGCTTGTGAGCATAGATATCATATATATTAGCTAGATCCCTCACCCGTGCTGTTCGTCAATGGACGCTGACGTCCGTACACAGCGGCCATCTTACTTCGGACAGCTGCCGTCCTCTAACACTGGTGTTTAGTGGTGCATGCACTATTTAAACAATTCTAACTTTCTCAATTTTCAACCGATTTTCATACGTTTTGAGTTTTTAGAAACATTAGAGACATAGTTATGAAATACATCAGTTTTGGATGGAAACTCTCCTTATTTCTGTCCACTTTCCAGTCGTTTTCCGCTATCCTGTCAATTTCCCATAGACTTACCGTTTTAATATCAACAAGATCTGCTTCTGATGAACTAGCTGTAGTTTATAAACTGAGGTCAACTTAGAAATATAAGTTTTAAGATACCTTATAACTTAACATATCAACTTATAAATAAAAACTCAAATACCTGATTTCATTTACAGAAAATAGTAAAACAAAACAAAAAAATAAACACAAAAGAGCAGCGAACAAAATTTAAAGTTAAAACACCCAGTCCAAAAAACAAAAAGCAAAACAACTCTAGAATCTCAATGACTGACAAACTATTTTATAAAAGACAAATAAAAATATACAGAATATATTTTATTTACTTTGACTTGGTAATATAAACCTAATATATACTTGCTTTGGCAAGTTATAATAATTTATATTTATTTCCACCTTCAGCCTGCAACCCATTTAAAATGAAAGTTTGAGAAGACAAAACTGGGATAATTGTGAGTTAAAGTAAAGGGCTTAATAAACACTTCAAAAATTAAAGAGTAAGTGAATGACGGACTGATAGTTATGAAAAACTTGTTTATTACAGATTATACATGCTTTTGATTATAAAAATAACAGATCTAAGACAGATGCTAAAGCACATTGTGGGTCACCTTTCAAAAAGACTGCTTTTGTGAGCTTCTGTCTCACGCTGTCAGACTGAAAGCTAAGAGTTGCTAATCTTGCTATAGAGCTCCGGGAGTTGACGTCACTTCTCCCGGCATGCAACAGTTCAAATCGAAACAGCGCCATATTGGCAGGCAGAAGCCGGCAGCTGGGCTATTTGTTATTGTCAGAAAACTCAATCAGACAGGAAATATGGTAGATTCCTGTTGTGCCCCAGGATGCAGAACAGACGCGGACGACATAAGGGATGAGCCATCTACAGGATTCCCCAAGATCCGGAGCGCCGCAAACGTTGGATGATTGTAATAAAACGCGCTAGTGACCGGGCTAAAATAAAGCTGTGGGATCCCAAGAGTAAAGGTTTTCGCTTATGCAGCGACCACTTCATATCAGGTACTTAAACCAACGTTTCCTCAACTGTGTATGGCGTTTATTTTAAATGCTTTTATTACGATTCTTAGTGGGCTTCCTAAACTTATTTTGGCGTGGCTTTTTCTGTCTTATTACTCATAGCAACAAGTAAACGTCACGTAAAATGTTTACGTGTTTTAGGATCACAGCAATTAACCGGCTAAGCTGTATTTAATTTTTAAGCAATGGTTGATCAATTGTCAGATCACACATAAAAAGCACTTTGGATTGCTATTATCTGTCTCACCGAGACACATCTCAGACAGATCCTGAGACGCTCCTGCCTGACATATTTATTTTGTTCACGGAAAAAAATCAGACTAGTGATTTCTCTTGGCGTTTAGTTTATACATTCAAACAGCACAGCACTCTATTTAAACTACTTACATGTAAATCTGTTATTTGTCCATCCATCCATTTTCATCCGCTTATCCAGAGTCGGGTTACGGGGGCAGTATCGTCGAGAGGCCCAAACTTCCCTCTCCCCAGCCACTTGGGCCAGCATCCTCCGGGGAAATCCCAAGGGGTTCCCCGGCCAGGTCCGGTAAGAAGTCCGCTCCGCTCCGACAGCTTCTGGCATTTTTAAAAAGTATCCCAGGGGTTAATTTCTGACTATATAAAACGATTTCTTTGGTTTTAAAGTGTGACGTAAACTCCGACGAAGTAAAATCCAAGCCGATCCCGTTCATGTTCATGTTTACGATCCTTGTTTGTTTACCTTTTTTTCCTGCCAATATGGCGTTTACTAACTGAGAGTCACGTGGGGTCCGGAGCTCTATGTGGTGCATCCTCAGCTTAAAGAACAGGGAGACAATAGATGTCAACATGGGAGTGAGACTCAATTCCGTACTGTGTCTCACTGATGTGCTCCCCAAGCAAAAAGACATCCTCTGACCCAATCCTCTTGCGCACGATGTAGATGACCTCCTGTGGTTTGATAGGCTGTGATCGTCTGCCCGCTGATGCCGGGAGAATTGCCCTCTCTGCTGCTCTGGTGACCCTCACAATACCTTCAGATGGGACCACAAGACCTCCGTTGTTCTTCAGAGTCAGCAAATGGAAGCTCTGGTCATCACAGGCAGATGCAGCATCCATCACCAGGCTGGCACGGCAGACATCACAGGACAGCTTGGTAATGGCTCGCCGCACAACAAATCCTGAGATTGCAATTACCAATGTAACTGGACAGTGTGGTTGCCTTTATACTTTACACAGGCCTATAGATCAACATGATGTCAGGTGAGAAATCAGACAAGAACTATAGTTTGACTACATTAAGGCAAACAAGTAATCATGATTGGTAAGTGTGGAATTTATTTATTGTATTCATTTATCAGGGGGATTTGATAAGCCAGCAGTTTTTCAAAAGACTACAAACATCTTTTGTGGTTTTCTTCTGACTGCATTTTTAGGTTCTTTTTGAAACACAGGGAAGGATTTTTTACCTTGCTGACAGTTTTGATCGTGACGCCACTGAGCGTCAGCTCTGAGGAAGATCGCAGACACTTCTTAGGGCAACTTCCCACTGCCTCCTTCTTTCTCCATCTCTGGGAAATCTTAAACAAGTGACAAAATGTAGGCAGCTTTAGAAATCATTGTAAACAGTTAACAGCCTTTTCCTTTAACATGAACATAAGACAAACAATAGTTAAACAAAAGGTGTCAAGACAGAAACATGCAATGATTGATTAACCAAGAAATCTTGAATTCAAGCAATTCAACTTTTTAAAATCACAGTTAGCTGATAGATCTTGAACTTTGCCATCACTGTTATTTCTAAAAAGCAGTTAAAAGCAAAGCAGATGACAGAGACTTATCAGCCTAACACAGTTGAATGTTTGTTATTGTTAAATCTTACGAATGAAAGATGATCCCACGTTGTTGTGATTGAAGACATCGTCTATTAGAGCATCCATAGGCAGCACAAAAGTCAGGCATGCTTGTTGTGTTTCACGTGTATTTCTGTAAAAACAAAACCAGCAATTTCTGCTATTTTACAGTTTTTCTCAGTTGCTAAAACACTAAAATCCATTGACTGAAGAAAGTTATCAGTTGCTTGAAGTCATTACAGTTTTTCCTCAATTGTTTACACACATTTCCTGAAAGCATGCCTCATGTTCTCAGAACTCTACACACAAATCCAAAAATACACACACAATGGGCAAACCCCCTCACTTAACCTGCAAAATTAAACTTTGCATTCAAAACAATGTACTTTCTCCTCAAAATGTGGTTTTGTTGTCAAATGACACACACAAACCATCATATGAATAGACATTTATAAGAACCAGCAGAACACTCATGTGCTCAATGTTAAACACTATGATGAATGGAAAACACGTCTTCTCCATTCATCATAATGACTAAAGCCTTTCTGGTTCAGTGTTACACCTACAACAGTAAATACATGCATGTGTTGTTATTTCAGAATATTGTTTTTACACTCTGAACACACAAATACATGGTAGAAATTATTTTATTTTTTCCACAAAACATTGTACACAAAGTTTATCCCATTCCCAACCAACACAAAGTTGCACACATAAACTACATCCAACAGAAATTTACTGCATACAGTTACAGTAAAAAAGAAAACTATGCTGCATCCTCTCTTCTGTTGCGGTCTGGCCACAGCGCCTCATCCACATCACAAGCAGAGTTGTCCCTGGCCAAGCAGCGGGGGAAATATCTCCTAGCATGGCGATTCCAGCCATGAAAAGAATCAGCTGCTATATCTCCACATGTGTCCTCCATAGCTTGGAGAAGAGGTATACGGGTTTGTGGCTGTCAGTCATACACCTTCCATCTCCATGCAGAGAAAAATTCCTCAATGGGATTGAGGAATAGAGAATATGGAGGGAGATAAACAACTAAAAAGCGTGGGTGGCCAGTGAACCAGTTACGAACCACAGCAGCCCTGTGGAAACTTACGTTGTCCCAAATGACAATGTACCTGGGCTGTTCTGGACCATCTACCTGTTCTGGTGGAATGAGTGTGTTATGTAGGATGTCCAGGAATGTGATCAGATGGGTAGAGTTGTAGGGGCCAAGGGTAGCATGGTGATGGATGATGCCATGGTAGCCAAGCGCTGCACACATTGTGATGTTCCCTCCACGCTGGCCTGGGACTTCAACAATGGCACGCTGGCCAATGATATTCCTTCCCCTCTTTCGTCTTTTTGTGAGGTTGAATCCAACCTCATCAATGAAGATGAACTGGTGCTCCACTGCAGCTGTCTCAAGCTCAAGGACTCTCTGAAACTCACATGACAATATCAGAAATAAACGTGGAGTGGTCACTAGTGTGAAGCACAGTCCTTATGATTACAATATTGAAATATGTATAATTTACTGTACACAATGTTGAGTGTATGCATCAATTGCGGGACTCACTTGCACATAGTTATATCGCAATTCTTTGACTGTTTCTGAGTTTCCTTCAAATTGCACCCTGTTGACCTGTGGCTCGGACCTCATCAGAGACTACGGTCCTTGGTCTTCCTCTTCCTCTTCCTCATCCTCATCCTCCCCGTCCTCCTCCTCTTACTCTCACTCCTCTGGCTCTGCCTCTGTTTCCAAAGTTGGCATCCATTGCTCCAACACAGAAGAGCTCACCTGTTGCCCTTTTATGCTAAAGTTCTGTTTTGCTGATTGTAAAACTGTGTGACAGGTGTTTGCCCTTGTGATGAGTCAGTGTGCATATTTGAATAGCTGTGTGTTCCTTGTGAGAACAAGATAGTTCCTGTATGAAAATTGTGCCAACAGGAGAGAATTGTGTGTAGTGTTTTGAGAAATGTGGGTTTTAAATTTGAAATTTGAGTGCAAAGCAGGAATTGTGCTTGTAGTTTCGCAAAATTGGTTAAGGGGGGGTTGGTTACTTGGTTACATGTTGTGGTAATTGTGTCTCAAGTACCAGAAAATGTGTGTAAACAATTGAGAAAAACTGTAAATGAGTGTTTCACACTTTTAAAGCTGCTAAGGCAAATTTGGAAAACAATTTTTTTTCATGCCTCTTAACAAAGTTCGAACATAGTTTAGCTATAAATATGTTTTGGAGATAAAAACAAACATATGATTCTGTCACATTTGTCTAAAAACCTCCGCCAATTACACGTAATGAACCAAAAGCCCCTATTGGACCATCCGGTTGTCGTTCACGCCGAACCGCAGCACTTCCCTGTGTCCTCCACTCATTACACACTCACGCATTTAGCAACAGAACACCACTGGTGTGAGAGGTTCTCTGCTCAATAATGTCAGAGAAGGAGAAACAGCCGGCTGCTACCACTTAGACAAAATACCAAAGTCCCAAAATGAAAAACACCATTTGAAGTCATGGACAACAAAAGACGTTTGAGCCAAGAAAACGGCGACTAGTGTTTAGCGCCATCTCGTTTCCTCTGGTAATGCAGGCTTTTGGTTCCGGCAGAAGACACCTGAGGGGAGGGGTGAGTGTTCTGTGACCGTGTTTGCTTTCAAAACCTAGCTTGTTCTGTAGATTCGCTAAAGCAGCTTTAACCTGCAGATGTGTTGAAACCAAAACAAGAAAAGCTTCATTTTATGCATCGTAAAGCTTTCTGCCGTGTTTCTTATGAATTGAAATGAATCCGAAACCTGAAACTGGACCTTTAACCTTCCTGTTGTATAGAATGAGGGGGAGCAGCATTGCTGACAGTTTCACTTCTGCGCCACGTTTCCTATTCCTCATCCTTAGGGCAGGCTGACATTCATGCTTCAGATGTTTCCCCTCTGAAACACACCTGATTTTAACTCACCAACCGGCTTTGAAGAGCTTTGTGACAAACTGTTAGAACATTTTATTGTTTTGAGTCACCTGCAAAGAAAGGTCCAAAATGTGCAGAATGCCTTGCTCTACAACTACAATGTGCTGACCAACCGAGAGAGATAACTGGAAATCACTTGTTGTTTTTTATTATTACATATCTAAGTACAGAAACTTTTGATGATTTATTTCCTTACCCTGATGGGTCCTTGTAAACTCTCAATACAATTGCAGTGGACTCAAGTTGGAATGAATGCCTTGCAAGTCATACTCTGGAGAAAAAAAGCACCAGTGTGCCTGTTTCAAGAACTGGAAGTGGGCCACATCAGAGATGAGCTTCAGACAGCAGGATTTGGACTCTTATCTCCTGATATTTGGACATCTTGCCTTGGATTGTTTAACAGCAACATGACTGTACCACTGATGTTGTTTGCTCTGCAATGTCGATGTTTTATCTCCACAAATATCCCAAGCCTGGAGGAGTTCTGCTGTGTGGTGGTGTTGCTAATGCTAACGGTTAGCTTCTACTACTCAAGGTTTTCTCCGCTGTTTCCTGGACACTAAACCAACAACAGCCTTTACCGTCGCAAGTCAAGATGGGTGAGTCCATCAATATTAAGTGACAGAGTGATGTGGGTCTGTCAGGATTTTCAAATGCTGGTGTTTCCTCATCTATTTTTTTAGAAACTAATGCAGGAGATTGTAGGAGACTATTTTCGTGTTCAGTTGGCATAAAAAATTATAAAAATAATAATTAAACTAATTAAAATTATAAATAATCATTAAAAACGTTTTTGTCAGTGAACCACACCTTTAATGTTAACCCCTGGCCTCCTTGAAGATAATGGCCTATGATTAGCATCAAATCAAGGTTTGATTGGACAGAGTCCAGCTCTTGACTGCAGCGCTGGTTTAGTGTTTCATCTAACGGGTTCAGGAGGTAAACCCAGACATCCCTCTCCTCTGGGATGCTTTCCAGCTCCTTCTGAGGGATATCCAAGTATTCCGTAGCCAAAAAGGATATGTGATCCTCCAATGACCTTTGGGTTTGCCACGGGGATTCCAACCAGTTGAACAGAAGGGAGGTGACCGGGAGATGTCAGAAGACAAGTGGAGTTGGACAACAAATACGCCAGTAAACAGAGAGCCAGAAACCATGGCCTTGCCCATTTTTCCAGTCTGATTTGAGCTCCTCCTAACCTCTCCAATCTCCTAAAACCATAATATGATAAAGACCTTTGACAATATATCTATTGACTTAATCAGAATCCCGAATGCTCCTTATCTCAGTTTGTGTTACACACACACACACACACACACACACACACACACACACACACACACACACACACACACACACACACACACACACACACACACATATATATATATATATGATCTCCACATCACTGATCACTATTTTATTTCTTTCAATATTGTAACCCAGCTTTCTTTTACCAAACCAACCCGACTCATCTCTTTTAGGAATATAAAGGACATCAATATCGACACTTTATCCTCCTTTATGGATAATATTCAGCTACCGGACAATCTCTCCTCCCCTGATGACCAGGCTACTCTCTACAATGATCAGTTAGCTCACATTTTAAACTCCCTTGCTCCAGTCAAAACCCGTTCTGTTACTTTCTGTCAGTCTGCTCCCTGGTTTTCCCCTCAACTCCGGACACTGAAAACCAAATCCAGGCAGCGTAAACGCCTCTACAGAAAAACTGGTCTCACCATTCACAAATAACTATATAAAAATCATATGACTCAGTATAAGGACTTAATTTTACTAACCAAACAACAGTATTACTCCTGTCTAATCAACTCCAATCGAGGCAATACTAAGTCATTGTACTCCATTATCAATAAAATTCACCGGCCATCCGATACTCTGCCCCCACACATGTGCTCTACTGCTACTTGTAATGCCCTTCTTCTGTTCTTCAACGAAAAAATAATAAACATTCACCGTGCAATCAACCAAAGCATCCCCCCTACCTCCCCATATGATCCTCCCGAACCAACACAGTTATTTTCCATTTTCCAAATTCCCAGTGATTCTGAGATATCAGATATTATCCACAAGTCAAAGTCTTCTACCTGCCTTCTCGATCCCCTTCCCACAGCCTTGATTAAATCCTGCCTCCCCTCTCGTCTCCGCTCTCATACACGCATCCCTTTCCTCCGGTATTGTTCCCTCTATCTTCAAAACTGCTGCAGTTACTCCAATACTTAAAAAACCTGGTTCGGATCCTAACATTTTTACTAATCTCCGCCCCATCTCCAACCTACCCTTTGTCTCCAAAGTTTTAGAAAAAATAGTCGCTACCCAGCTCCACACCCATCTGACACTAAACTCCTTCTATGAACCCTTCCAGTCCGGTTTCCGCCCACTTCACAGCACAGAAACAGCCCTCCTCAAAATAACTAACAATCTCCTCATTGCTGCTGATTCCGGTCTACTATCCATCCTGGTCCTCCTTGATCTGAGTGCAGCCTTTGACACAATATCTCATTCCATTCTCCTCCATAGGTTATCTTCCATCGGCATTGCTAACATCCCACTTCAGTGGTTTCAGTCCTACCTATCAGGTCGTACTCAGTTCATTACTATCAAATCCTCCCGCTCACAGCCCTCTTCTGTCTCTTCTGGCGTGCCCCAGGGCTCTGTCCTGGGGCCCCTCCTTTTCATTATTTACATCCTTCCCCTTGGCAATATCTTCCGTAGATTCAATATTCATTTTCACTGCTTCGCGGATGACACCCAGCTCTATTTGTCCAGTAAGCCAAATTCTGCACTTACTCCCTCTTCGCTCATCACCTGCCTTCAAGAAATAAAATCCTGGTTCAGTTCGAACTTCCTGAAATTAAATACTGACAAAACAGAACTTCTTTGGTACAAAGAATACTCTCTCAAAATTTGACAGTTTCTCTCTCACAGTTGATAATACTTCAGTTTCCCCCTCTCCCCAGGTCAAGAGTCTGGGCATCATCCTAGACAGCACACTATCCTTCCAATCTCATATCAATAGCATCACATGGTCAGCTTATTTCCATCTTCGTAACATTAATCGTCTTCGCCCCTCTCGATGTCCACTCTACTTCTATACTTGTCCATAGTCTGGTTACATCACGTATCGATTATTGCAACTCTCTTCTCTCAGGTCTCCCTCAGAAAACCCTCCGTAAGCTCCAGTTGGTTCAGAATGCATCAGCACGCATCGTCACTAAAACTCCCATTTCTCATCACATCACCCCCATCCTCAAACAACTCCATTGGCTACCCGTGCACACCAGGATTAACTACAAGATTCTCCTTCTCACCTTCAAGGCCATCCATAACCTCGCCCCTCACTACCTCACAGATCTCGTTCACATCGTCACCTCGTCCCGTTCCCTCAGGTCCTCCTCCTCCATTCATCTCTCTGTGCCCTCCTTTCGTCTCAGCACCATGGGGAGTAGAGCCTTCAGCTGCACCGCTCCCAAACTCTGGAACTCCCTTCCCCCTCTCATCAAGAACATTAACTCATTCACAGAATTCAAAAAACAACTGAAAACTCACCTCTTCATGACCACATATCAGCTTTGAATTTTAGAGTGCCTTGTTTGTTGATATATGTTTACTTACTGAATGATTTGTGTTTTTATTCTGTACAGTGTCCTTGAGTGACCAGAAAGGTGCTTTTAAATAAAATGTATTATATATATATATATATATATATATATATATATATATAGATATAGATATAGATATAGATATAGATATATATATA